CCATATGGTATTCGACTTTCTCTGTTCTGATTTATTTCACTTAGCATATGCTCTCAAGGTCCATCCATGCTGTTGCAAATGGCAAGGTTTCATTTTTGTTATGGCTGAGTATTATATACTGTACATACATATATATATATATACACTGTTTGGCCAGATTATTATGCATTTAGAGATCATAATAATCTGGCCACTCAGTGTATATGTCACATTTTTTTTATCCATTCAGTTGTCAATGAACCCTTAGAGTGGTTTTATATACTGGTTATTATAAATAATGCTGCAATGAATATAGGACTCTATATATCTTTCTGAGTTAGTGTTTTCTTTTTTTTTTCTGGCTAAATACCCAGAAGTGGCATTGCTTAATCATATGGTAGTTTTCTTTTTATTTTTAACGGTAATAATCTCCATAATGTTTTTCATGATGGCGACATCAATTTCAGTCTCATCATCAGTGCACGAGAGTTCCCTTTCACACTAAGATTATAAAAATTTCATCTACTTTTTTCCAGAAGCTTTCTTTTAAATATTCACTTTACATTTAAGACTATGACTCATCTCAAATTTAGTTTGCATATCATGTGAGTTGAAGGTCAATATTCTTTCCCTCCCCACTCAAAATATTGCTCCTACACAAAAGCAGAAAGGCTGAGAGAACAATAAAGTCCAGTTTAAGTTTTGTAGGATTATTGTTATGGTTCTCAGAGGAATAAAAATTAATTGCTTTCAAGTTTGAGTTCAAACTCCCCTTTCTATGACTGTAGAGTTTACTTTCTGAATTGTGGGAAGAATAAGACTAAGGAAAGAGAATAGAAGACAGAGAGGTGGGTGGCCTGTAGATGGACAGTAATTACCCAGAAGAATTTTGTAGACAGGAAGGGTGAAGCATCCACACATAAATCCGTTTTTCACAGAGGCAAGTACTTCTTCTACCAGAATCCCAGAGTCCCATCTGTGTCCACAGACCATTAGCCACCACCCAACCAAGACTGTACTCTGTGTGCACCTTGCAGTCAATTGTCCCAGGTCTCCCTGATTTGCAGCCAGCCCATGAGCCATAGACTACTTGGCAGAAATGATGACCAATGTGTCCCACGGCTTTGTTCACTTCCATGAGCTTTGCCTTAAATTCACAACACTCCAACCCTATCCCAAAACCAAAGCAAACCCTTGAGCACTAGCATGGGGCTTAAGATGTCTAGAAGGGTGAAGTATGTGAGGGAGAGCAAGTCTATCCTGAAGAGAACCCACCTGATACCTCCTCATTGTAAAATGCATCTCATTATATAATTTAATGTTTCTCTATACTCAGTAACCATGCTTTCAAATAAAGAATCCATGTAAGGATCATACTAATCATTATTACTATATTCAGCAAGAATTGTTTCACTCTGTAGGGAAACATTGTATTTGCAGTTTATTTCGTCTTTGCAGTTTTTTTGGTTCAACAAAATTACAAACATCCTGATTCTAATTTTAGTTTAGTGGCAACTGTGTGACATTCAGAAGTTGCTCAATCAAGTAGTTTCCTGTGGAGGGAGGGAGCTGGTTAGGAAGTTATGTTCCTAGCATTTTTAGAGTATGGTACATTTATTTCCTTCTATTTTCATCTCCATATATTTTACTTCAAATTGAAGTTTCTTGATATCTTCCTTGTATTTCTTCTGGAGAGACTGCAATTTTTTCTGAGAGAAAAAATGAAGACCGAACTCACACAATGTAAAACATTTCCCACATTTGCCAAATTATTTCCCTTTTCAATACCTATGTTAATCCTTCATGAGTTTTTGAAACTTATTTGTGAACTAAGTGCACTTCTCAATTTCTAATATTTCACTCTCTCCAGAGTATCCTGTTTTTCATTAATATTTCTGAGTTCTATTTAGCTACAGAAATGTTGCTCTCTTGTAGTTTCTAAACTTTTAGTGACCCAGAATCATATTCTTGGCCCTCTTCACCCACATGCACCACACTCTTCCTGGAAATTATATCATTTTTTCTTCAACTCTGATCTCAGTAGTGTGGCCTCTCAAATATCTGTCTAAGAAGGTGAGAAAGATGAGTGAATTGCATTGGGAAAGTTACTACATGATTCAGAATCATGGCAGATGTTTGATGAGGAAACTTAGTACAACTCTCCAAAACTTAGAGCAGTGGTTCTCAACCTTCCTAATGCCGCGACCCTTTAATACAGTTCCTCATGTTGTGGTGACCCCCAACCATAAAATTATTTTCGTTGCTACTTCATAACTGTAATTTTTCTACTGTTATGAATCATAATGTGAATATCTGATATGCAGGATGTATTTAGGTGACCCCTGTGAAAGGGTCGTTCGACCCCCAAAGGGGTCGCGACCCACAGGCTGAGAACCGCTGACTTAGAGGCAAGGTAACATTAATAATTTGAGGAGATCGGGGCCTGTGCCAGTCCACACTGTATTTCTGGGTGGACATCTGGACACAACAATTACTTGGAGTAGAGCCTGGAGAACAGGATGATACAGGCAGCCTGGGCATATAATTACATGATTAATAGTGTATATGGTCATGGAGTCTTCCTCCTACTCATTAGGGTTCCTGCAGAGATAAAGTTATACAGGTCTGGCAGAAAGAGAATCAACTTGAACTTTACTGAGTAGAATAGACAGACCAGCTATTCTTCCACAAGGCAGGATTCTGAAACATTACTTATCCCTCATGAAATTACAATTTCCGCATTTGAAAAAGAGAATATCATAGTACCTACAACTTAACATAAGGATTTGATTACAGATTGATTGTAAAGCCATTGCACAGTGCCTGGCAGTGAATAGCTTCTGCTTATTAGTGATTTAATAATAAAGGATCCCATGAGATTTTATCCTGCGAGTAATACCCTTTAGTAACCAGAGATGGTCACAGGTAGAAGCAGTATGAGAATAAAGTGTCTACTAGTGTTTGGGCTAGAAAAATTCTTAATCTTACATAACGATCTAACTTCTAAGCACATTTTTTATTAAGTGCAGTGGAAAATAAAATGGCGATGACAGAGTTGAATGCCTAAAGTTTAAGATTTAGAATCCTCTCTTGCTCTGCCATGAACTGGGCCTTCTCCATCTCCATCTTCTCAATCAATTGCTTTATTTTTACCTCATAAATCTTATATATCTCTCCCTTCATCTGCTCATTTTTCTTTTGCATTTCCTCGATCATTTCTCCTATAGATTCTGAGGAAGAAAAACAAGCGGAGAAACATGAGGATTAAATTGTTATAATCTCATTTTGCCTTTCAACCCATCTTTTTTGTATTATTGTTATTTTATAGAGAAAACTTCTTTTGAGAATTTTTGAACTGAGTAAGCAAAACTGAGTAATTTTAAGTGTAAATAACAGTTAAAAATTCCCTAGAATTATGAACTACACTTGTTATTCTTTGATTTCAGGTGCACTGATGTGAAGGCAAACCCCTATTCTGTAAAACTACTGTTTGGAATTCTCTGCTATTCTTTAGATGGCCTCTTATTCTGAAAAAATAAGTTTGTTTTCTAGCCTGTTTTAATAATAGGGGAGATAAACTTAGCTGTCTGACCTTGTAGGCCAGAGACTAGATACATCCAATGCCATGCCAGGTGCATTTTTTAATTGGATAGAACTGTGTAGTTTTCAAGGCCGCCAGCAAGCGCACAAAGGGCTGGCTCTTCCATAAAAAGGGAAGTTCTGCTTATAGCTTTGCTTAGAATTTGGATTCATTTCCCTAAGCCCACTACGGTGAATAAAGTATAACTCCAAACTCTCAGAGCGTTGCTTGGTTCTTCTCTGTTTTGTCTGTAACACTGATATGGCTCACATTAACAATTGTAGGGCTTCCCATTACCTGGAGTGTTTTTGTTTTTGTTTTTGTTTTGTTTTTTTGGAAAAGCTTTATTGAGGTATAAAAATAATGCAATATACTGTCACATAAGTTTTGATCTACCTATCATACATGTACTCACCTGTTAAACCACTATCAAAATTAAGTAACGAGCATGCACATCACTCAGAAACATCTACATCTTCACATGTCCTTAGGAAACTCCTTCCTCCTGAACATAAACCCTCATCCCCATCACAGACCACTGCCCAGCTTTCTGTCACTATAGAATTGCTTGCATTTTCTGGAATTTTACATAAAAGGATCATACAGTATGTAGACATTTTTTCTCTGCCTTCTTTCACTCAACATATTTATTTTCAGATTCATCTAACATTCTTATATGTATTGATAGTTTATTCCTTTTTATTGTTCAGTAGTATTTGCTTGTATGCATATGTTAAAATTTGTTCATCATTCACCTGTGGATGGACATTGTTTCAGTTATTGGCTATTACCAATAAAGCTATCGTATGCACAAACTTTCATTTTTCTTGGGGATAGATGTAGAAGCAAAATGATTAAACTGCATGGTAGGTATTTGTTTAACTTTTAAAGAAACTGACAACTTTTCCCCCAGTGATTTACCATTTTACATTTCCACCAGCAGTGTATAAAGGTTCCAGTTGCTCCACATCCCCACCAACACCTGAGATGTTTCATCTTTTTAATTGTAGCCATTCTAGTAGGTGCATTAAGTGGTATCTCATTGTGGCTAGAATTTCCACTTTTCTAATAAGTAATGATGTTTTACTAACTAATGGTGTTGTTTACTGTGCTTATTGCCATCCAAGTATATTTTTGATGACGTATCTGTTTAAATTATATCATATTTTCCCTTTACTTGGGATATTTGCTTTTCCAGTTAGTGAGATATTTGTTGAGTTTCAAGAGTTCTTTAAATATCTTGGATACAAAAACTTTATCCAATGTGTGATTTGCGAATAGTTACTTCCAATCTGTGACTTCTCTTTTCACTAAAAGAATGAAAATTCTGATTTTTACAAAGAGCATAGTTCTTAATTTTGAACTACAATTTCTTATTTGATATCTGGAGTGTTTTCAGCTGTTCTCACCTTCAGTCACTTTTTTCATCTCTTCCTTTTTTCTCTTTGTATTTCTTCTGAATCTCTTCTGCCTAGTGATGCAGAAGAAGTTACAATTAAGAAATGACGACTATGGGTTTCAGGAAAACCCAGTAATACATGCACTCAATTAAATATAATTTTATCATCCACATAACAATCATTGTAAAATTCAAATAGCTCTTTGATGCTTTTTGCACAATATTTCTAAACCTCTAGATCTGGTAGCAGGAGTATCTTTGTTTTATACCTTCCTAAGGTCTCTTATTGGGAAATCACTGGGGATGTGAAGGAGTTGGAACTTTCTCAGGCTTGACACCTATGCCAGGAATGTGTTTCAGTCCTAAGGATGTTCTTTGGGAGGAATGGAGGTTTAGTTCTAGTTCTTCAATCCACTGAAGCAGGATGACCATACACGTTATGTGTAATGGGAACTGCTGACTCTCTAGAAAATATAGCTATCAAACTTGAGGTGGGGACAAAAAATGCATTTACTCTGGATGTGTACAATGGAGCAGGCTGATATGGAAACCAATGTAGCACCTTTTAGAGCTTTCATTATCCCATATTTCATACCACATACAATCTGATACTTTGAGACCAGATGGCTCTATGTCAGGTCTCTTTGATGGTTATACCGAACATCCTGAGAACTGAAGTCCTATTCACCTGGGGCACAATAGAACCCTGTAATCACCACAAACAGTAGATCATAAGTCTGGGCCATGTTATTTGAAACCTCATTCTAATACCACAGAAGGTGCTGAGTCTTAAAGACTTGGGGCTTTAGAATGATCCCATTAACTTGACAGTAATCTGAATCATATGCCTTTAGATATACTTTACAGTTTATGACTTTAGTGTTTTGGTCTTCCCTTCATCAGGAACTAGGTGACTATCCTGTAGGTTTTGCCCACATCCCACCCAGACTTACCGTCAGCATGTGCTGCAGAATTTTTTCCTGATCTTTCAGCTTTGTGTTTTGGTCTCTCATCTTTTCATTCAGCTGGGCAATGTTTTCCTCAAAGCTTCTCTCTAGAGCAGGGGTGGGCAAACTTTTTGACTCGAGGGCCACAATGGGTTCTTAAACTGGACCAGAGGGCTGGAACAAAAGCATGGATGGAGTGTTTGTGTGAAGTAATATAAATTCAAAGTAAACATCATTACATAAAGAGCAAGAGAACCCTCCGCTCTTTCGGCTCAGCAGGCCGGACAGAACAGCCCGCGGGCAGTAGTTTGCCCACGGCTGCTCTAGAGCCTCCATTTGTTGTAGTTTTTCATTCAGTGTCTGTGTAAGCAACTCCTGTTTTCTTTCCAATTCCTCTGTCTTGGCTTGTTCAGCTGTCCCACAGTGGTTTTAAAGAGAGAAGAAAATAACAGTTATACCTAGCTGTACCCTTCAAAGGTAAGACTAAAATGGTTTTATAATGGCAGAGAGGAATCTCTGAATATTCTTACTAACAATACCAGCAAAACATGTTTCAGAATATGACAGAATGGCACTGGTTGCCTCACAGAGCAATTAAAACTCACCTGGTTATTTTTGGATTTAGCCAAGTTGTTCTAATTCTTTTGTGGAAACACCTTGTTTCAAGAAGGACTTGTTCTTGAGGGGCACTGTAGGAACCTCCCTGCTATCCATTATCACAACCCTCCACTGTATCTTTTATTTTATTTTTTAAATATATTTTATTGATTTTTTACAAGAGGAAGGGAGAGTGATAGAGAGCTAGAAACATCGATGAGAGAGAAACATCTATCAGCTGCCTCCCGCACACCCCCCACTGGGGATGCGCCCGCAACCAAGGTACATGCCCTTGACCGGAATTAAACCTGGGACCCTTCAGTCCACAGGCTTACACTCCATCCACTGAGCCAATCTGGTTATGGCCCCTGTACCTTTTAGAGTCTTCTCCACAGCAGCAAGAGCCTTGTCAGCCTGGATGATGGATTCCTTTGTTGCAGCCTGTGACTGCTTGAAGTTCTGGAGGACCTCCATTGCCTGAGGAAACAAGGAGCAAAGACTCTTCTTGCTGGGGAAGTCAGTGTTCAACAAAACTACAAATTTGATCCTGTAAGTTCATCATCTTTCTTAGGATCCAACAGTGGTGCCCTTCCTTCCAGGGCCACAATTAAAAAATTCAACATCTTTAGTTGGGGAAAAACCCTATTTGGCAACCCCAGTTTTCTCTTAATGTTGCCACTTATGGAAGTTCTACAAACACTCCACCTCAATTGTATGCAGTCTCTGCACATTCTTTTTCTTCTGACTGGATGCTTATCTTCCCTTTCTTTACTCAGATACTACTTACTGATACTTCAACTTATAGCTTCTTCCTCCTCTTCCAATAAGCTGTGCTAAACTTCCTTCTGAGATTTGACTGGGTGCCAGGTACACAGACCTTTCCTACCACCTCTACCACTTGCTGGCTGTATGCTCTTAGGTAACTTATGAGGTTCTCAGTGCATCTCATTTCTCAACTGTACTATGTGGATGACATTAGTACTTAAAATCAAATTATTCTAAAGATTAAAGTGATAATCAATTTAAATGATCAACCTAAAAATATACTTGCTTTAGGAAGTGTGTGCTCAATATAGATCAACCATCACCATCATTCCATCATTAATATCACCACTATTAGTTTATACTTACATGATAATCATTATCCTACCAATCCACTTGACTACTTATATTTCCTTCTTAGGTAAGATCATAAGCTTGTTGAGAACATTGTTTCTTTAATTATGTATTGTGGAAAGGAAAATAAGACACCAACACAACAGGCAGGTGAATGGCCAACGGCGGCGCCTTTCGGTCGCCGTTCTAGCCTATTTATTTCCTTCAAAGTTATACAATCAATCATTGTTGCTAAGTGCAGTTACTAAAACATAAGTGAATTACATAAAACCATAATTAATCAATAATGCCCTGTTACCAAGGTACTAATTAATCAACTTTGCCCCGTTGCTGTAGCTACTAATATTAACTTGCCCCGTTTCCCAGACTACCTTCGACCATAGTTGGTTCCATTTCCCCAGCAACTGCCAACGTACCTGAGAGGGACATTCAGAGGTCACAGTGGCCACGCACCCCGAACCAGCAGTTTGCTGCGGCATCTACAGGTACGCTCCCACAATGTATCCCTTATACAGCATGATAAACTATTGCATTGTTTCCTAAATGAAAGACATATTCTCTTTCATCTACATTCCTGATAATAAATCTTATATTTAGGGGGGAAATTCTGGCCTATTTAATAGTATTTAACTAATTGTAGATGTAAAAGGTAAAAATGTACAGATAACGCTATGCTTTGCTATGTCTTCACCAATGGTCCTATTGTCTTAGATTTTCAAAAGAACCCACAAACACTCTCTGACTCTATTGGCTAGTCTTCCCCCTCATTTTATTCCTCACCTTCACTCCTTTCCTCGGCACCAATTCATAGGACTGTTCAACCTTGTTCATTTCCCCTGAGTAGAGAATGTATCCTCCAGGTACAGAGAAAGTTCCTCTCAAAATGCCTTCCATCAGTGGCTTTGAAAGCTGTGTAAGCTGAGCCTGGCAATATTTGAGAGATTCCTCTTCATTCTTCAGCAAGAAATTTTCCTTCTTTTTCTTTATGATGCCCTGCCACAGAAATGTGGAGAAATATAAGGGAAAGAGGCTGTCAGAAGGGAAAAGCCAAGTATGATCCTCTTGGAAGAAGCAGTTTTATGGCATTGAGTTGGACTGGAGTATGGAACCATAGACCATGGTTAAGAAGCTCATTTTAGTCACAGTTTAGACCAATTCATTTTGTGACCTGTGGAAAGTTCCTCAGTTCTCTTGGGTTCAGGGTCAACATTTGTGAAATGATGGTGTTGGTAGACATGAAGACCAGGGTTCCTTTATTTTTTCAATTGAGATATTACATTATATTGGCTTCAGGTGTCCAATGAATGGTTTGATATTTATATACATTGCAAAATGGTCACCACAATGTCTAATTATTGTAGTCACCTTACATAGTGATAAACATTGTTTTTTCTTTGATGGGAACCTTTATATTCAACTCTGTTAGCAAATATCAAATATGCAACCCAGTATTATCAAGGTTCCTTTATCGGTCATAAGATTAACAGTGGCCCATCCATAGGCAATGAGCAATGGAAAGTTCAATATAACTGGAAGTAGACTTTCCTCTGCAAACTTGGATTACTATGGATAAAAACATATACACAGTAAACCAATTGTCCACAAATGAGATAAGTGATCACTGAACATAGTTTTGAACTTCTCATGAATAATTATAAGGAGGGCTTGATTGTATAGAAATATAGGAAAATAAATTTTATGCTATACATCAATGTGACAGCAAAACAGCCTCCCACACACTCCACACCAGGGATGGAACACACATCCTGGGCAAATGTCCTGATCTAGAATTGAATCTACAATTTTTTGCTGCACAGTACAGCACCTGACCAACTGAGCCCCAGTGGCCAGGGCTAATGGTTTCCTAATAGCAGTTCATGGAGTCACAAGGCCCTGCTGATTGATTTGGGATTTCCTCAAATGATGAGCCAGTGGGTAAGAGGAAGGTCAAGTCAGGTTCATCCATGGCTCTGTGTTCACAAATGTGGACTGAAATACTGGTGCTGTGAGTCTCCCTTTATCCTCACTGCTTGACAGTCTGATCAGCCCTTTTATCAATTAAAAGTCTCTGGTTCTTGTTTTTCTCACGAGTGAGGAATACCTTGTGTTGATTAAGGACAAATGGAAAGTATTTGTATTGAACACATTTCCTTTGTAAGTGGAAACAGGAACAAGCTCCTAGTTCCTCAGGAATAAACTAGAGGTCAAGAGCACAGCTCCTTTCTGTTTAGTACTATGAGTTATGCACAGTTTTCCTGCTTTTTGTTTTCACATAAGGCTGTTTGAAAAACTTTCTCGGGGCATTTTCTTTTAAATGCTGGTTATGAGAAAGGTATATTTCTTCCCTTCCCGATGTACTTGGAGTTGCAGTCTCTAGAATACTTGTATTATTCTAAAAGATACTTATAGATCAAATTAATTTGCATGTAGTATTATTACATTGAAAATTCATGTGATTATATATGCTTATTGACAGGAAGGTATTTTTTTAAGGGTATAAAGTTTCAGTTTGTTGGATTGATTTAAGGCAGTGATATTCAACCTTTTTTTTTTTTATCTCATGGCACACATAAACTAATTCCTAAAAGAGCACCCTGAGTAATAGTTTATGTGTGCCTTGAGAAAAGAAGGCTGAATATTGCTGAATTAAGGGATTTTTTTTATCTTAAAAAATATTTTTATTGATTTCAGAGATGAAGGGAGAGAAAGAGGAAAAAAAATAACAATGATAAGAGAGAATCATTGATTGGTCATCTCCTGCATGCCACCCCAGTGAGGTTTGAGCCTAGAGTCTGGGCATGTGCCCTCACTGGGATTGAACTATGACCTCCAGGTTCATAGATTGATGCTCAACCACTGAGCCACACCAGCCAGGCAAGTGAGTTGCTTATATAATCTGAATACGAGTTCTTTGATTGATATTTGCATTGTAATTATTTTCTCTTAGCTGGTGTCTTGCTTTTTGCTTTTGATAAGGGTAGCTAGCTAGCTTAATTAGACAGATAGGAAGGGAGGGGGACCAGAGAAAATAGAGGCATCTTGGCCTGAACAATTAAGCAGCCGTAAGTTAGATCAAAAGCAGCCCTGACCTGAGCAGCTGGGAGAGCCATAGGGGTAATAAAACATCTCTGGCCAGGAAAAAAAGAGGCTGTTTTACTCTTTGAGCAGAGAAGCCAGTGGTTTCAGTCTCAAGGCTTGGCAAGATATGGTTGCTAGGTCTTAAAGCAACCATTAGACAGATCAAAAGCAACTCCAACCTGAGCAGACAAGATGGATATGTGAAGTACAGAGAAATGCCACTGGATAAGGGGGAAGAAAGACATACATTCACAGAGGATAAAGGAAAGTCACAGGATATGGAAACAGGGGGACAAGGAAACATGTTTTCACAGAGGATAGAGGAATGTTGCAAAATAAGGGAAATGAAAGAGGGGGCACCACTTGAGCTTTGGCCTTTGAAACTAACACTACGTAGCAGAGTGACCAATGAGGAGAGCACTGGGGTCCTAGATTAAGGGAAGGGTCTCTAGAATATATACCTCAAGACAAAGAGAAGAGTGGCCACCCTCTTAGGGGACCTCTCTGCCTCTCCTATCTTAGCCAGGGGAGACAGAGTCTTAGGAATAGAAACTGAGAATTAGGAGTTTTAGAGATAGTATCTGTTGGCAATAAACTTTTTGTACTTCTCACCTACCATTTTGTCCGTGGCTTTATTCTTCTAACCCATCTGGACAAGAACCTGGGAAAGAAATCACCCTTGCACCCTGCTCACCAAAAAACAAAAACAAAACAACCACAAAAATCCTGAATCACTATTATTATGACATTTAAATGAGTGAAATATTTTGATTCCTTTTTATTGTTATAATTAACATATCACATATTAGTTTTAGCTGTACAATATAGTGATTTGATATTTGTATATATTGCAAAATGATCACCATTGTAAATCTAGTTAACATTCATCACTATACATGGTTCCATAATAATTTTCTTGTGATCAAAACTTTTAAGATTTACTATCTTAGCAACTTTAAAATATGCAATTAACTATAGGTGCAATGCAGTACATTACATCCTATGACTTATTTATTTTATACCTGTAAGGCTGTACATTTTTATTTCCTATACCCATTTCTGCTACTCCTTATCCCTTGCTTTTACAACCCCCAATTTATTCTGTTTATAAATGGGCTTGTTTTTTTGTTGTTGCTTTTTGGAGTCCACATATGAGATCATACAATATTTGTCTTTCTATTTTCTGATCTATTTCACATAGCATATGCTCTCAAGGTCCATTTATGTTGTTGCAAATGTCAAGGTTTCCTTTTTTGTTATGGTTGAATAACATTCCATTATGTACATGCCATGTTTTCTTTATCCCTTCAGTTTTTAATGAACCCTTAGAGTGTTTTAATATCTTGGTTATTATAAAAAAATGCTGCAATTAATATAGGAGTACATATATTTTTCTCAGTTAGTATTGTCTCTTTTTCCAGATAAAAATCCAGAAGTGGAATTGCTGAATCATATGGTAGTTTATTTTTATTTGTAATTTCCATAATGTTTTTCATGGTAGTGACATCAATTTCAGTCTCATCATCAGTGCACAAGAATTCCCTTTCACACCAAGATTATAAAAATTTCTTCCACTTTATCTTTTCCAAAAGCTTTCTTTTAAATATTCACTTTAATATTTAAGATTATGATTCATTTCAAATTTATTTTTGCATATGGTATGATTTTAGGGTCAGCTATCACTTTTTTCTTCAAAATATTGTTCCTACACAAAAGCAGAAAGGCAGAGAGAACAATAAAGTCTAGTTTAAGTTTTGCAGTATTATACTGATAGTTCACAGAGGAATGAATTTTTTTTTCAAATTTGAGTTAAAAATTCCCTTTCTATGACTGTAGAATTCACTTTCTTAATTGTGGGAAGAAACAGACTAAGGAAAGAGAAAAAAAGACAGAGAGGTGGGTGGCCTGTGGATGGATAGTAATTACCCAGAAGAATTTCCTAGACAGGGAGGGTGAAGCATCCACACATAAATTCATTTTGCACAGAGGCAAGTACTTCTTCTACCAGTATCCCAGAGTCCCATCTGTGCCCACAGACCATGTAGCCACCACCCAATCAAGTACTGTACTCTCTCTACACTTGTCTGTCAATTGTCCCAGGTCTCCTTGATTTGTAGCCAGCCCATGACTGCTTGGCAGGAATGATGATCAACTGTGTCCTATGGTTTTGTTCACATCCATCAGCTTTGTCTTAAATTTACATCACTCCAACTTTCTCACCAAACCAAAGCAGACCATTGAGCAATAGCCTGAAGCTTAGAATGTTTAGAAGGGTGAAGTATCTGATGGAGAGCAAGTCTACACTGAACAGAACCCGCCTGATATATCCTCATTGTAAGATGCATCTCATACAATTTCAAGTGTCTCTAAGCTAGTAAACATTCTTACAAATAAAGAATCCATGTAAGAGTCATACTAATCATTATTACTATAATTCAGCAGGAATTGAATCACTCTGTAGGGAAGACATTGTCTTTGCAGTTTATTTCATCTTTCCAAACTTTTTTGGTTCAACAAAATTGCAAGCATCATAATTCTGATTTTAGTTTAGTGACAAATGTGTGACATTCTAAGTTGTTCAGTCAAGGTGTTCCCTGTGGAGGGGATGGGGCTGGTTAGGAAGTTATGTTCCTGGGGTTTTTATTGTATGATACATTTTCCTTTTTTTTATTTTCGCCATCAAAAAATTTATCTCATGTTGCAATCTCCTCATCTTTTCCTGGTATAGCTCCTTGAGATACTGCTGTATCGCAAAGCAGCGAGCTGAACAAGACGCCTGATGAGCCAATTAGTTAGGAGTCATCTTTATTGTGCACAGGTTCAGAGCAGATTACCTCTGTCAAATTCTGAACAACACATACAGGAAGTCTCCCGTATTTATACTCTTCGAGCCTCTTTGTTTGCAGATATTACAA